AATGAGTAAAGATGTTTAATATATTCCAAGAAGGGTAATGAAGATGAACAAACGGAGTTGAATAGAGGAGATAAAACAGGCTGCAGCGGCAGAAAATGGAAGTCTTCAAAGCCTGGACGTTTCCATCAAGTCAAAGATGCACAGTCAAGAGGTTCATGAGATTCAGGTCAAAAGATATGACCAATATGACTGTACTGGAGGTTAAGTTTGCATAAGTGACTTCGCTCTTGATAGCTACAAAAAATAGAGCACCTCCCAAAATAGAAAAGTGGAATAATTAAAGATAATTGACAAAATGAGTCCACTGAAATCCAAGGTCAAGTGCTGGGTGAATCTTTCACAGCAATATTTACTTTACCCAAGTTGACAGTATGAATTGGGATGGGAAAAAAAGACCACAATCAGGGTTTCAAAATCTTCTGTGAATAAAGGAATGTGACTAGGAAGTCAACAAATGACAAGAAACAGATATCAACTTCCAAGCATTTCTCTTCCAAGTTTACCCCAACTTCCTGTTCGTTCATAAAAAAATATTTCCAAAATATGATACTTTTACTTTATTCATTTTTAAAAGATTTATATTTATTTATTTATGCATATAAGAATTGGGGTGTAGGCCAGAGGTGCAGGGCGATGAGAGGATTCACCAGAAACAGAGTGGGGAGCAGATCAGGCAGATCTACCGAAATACACTGATGAGGGGGCCGTGGGAGAGACAGGAGAGGTCTGCTGCACCATGTGGGTCAGCTCCCTGGCCAGTTATTGAATTCAGGCCGCAGTGACTGGAGATAGCATGATAGCTCTGAGACTTTAACCCCTGTGCCACCAGGGAGGCCCTTGATACTTTTAGTTTAATCCCAAAATCACAGACACTACTAGATACCAGAAAAAATATCATTCTGACAATCAAATAAATGGGAAACTTCATCAGAATTTGCAGAGCCACTTTTTCTGTATGAAAATATCTGATTCTTCATTCAATCTGGTGACAGCATAAAGTTTTTTAAAGTATAAGAGTGGGTGAGATTAGACATTAACTTTACAAAAAAACAATTCAGGTTTCCTTAAACAAGATCCTTTAAATTTTAAGTAATGAGATTTACATAAAATCTTGTACAAAAATATTTTTCATAAAATAAGGCATACCACTGTTAGATTATTTTGGCTTGTCAGATCCACTAGTCCAAAAACAAAAGCGTAATTATTCCAGGCAATTTACCACATCTTTAGTGATTCTGTTCAACAGCTCAACAGTAAAAGTCTTCAGCAGGTGAAATCAAAACCTCTTCCAGAGGCAAATCTGAAACAGACTTTCAGCCTAAACAGATGTATTTTCTACAGGTGAAGTGTGTGAGTGAATGCTTCTCTAATGATAAACTTGTGCCATTTTTTCCATTCTGGATGGTAGTCTCCAATGTTTTCCATGCACACTTGACCGTAAAACATGTAAATAATTCATACATGCCTATATTTTAATAGATTACACAAATGTACTTTACAAGTTTAAGCATTAAATTTTATGAAAACATGGTTACTTACTTTTTAGAGAGTAAATAGAAATGCAAAGTCTAATAGTCCTTGTGCCTACCCTAATGAATTATCTTTTATATTACCCCCTTTTTAGTGACCACTTCTAGACAGACTAGAAGAAACTGTTCATTTATGGTGTTCCTTCCACTTATAAGACAATACAAAGGAAGAATCTGGCAACAATGGAGACATCAATGACAGAAGTGATGTCGATCTGCAAGACAGATAGTACGAAGAGGTCTAGTGGCAACTGTTGAGCTGAACCTTCTTATGAATCCATTTAAAAATTAGTTCTAATCTAAGAAAATAGAGAATAAAAAGGGCCCATTTTAGTAAGGAAAACACATTTAAACAATGAGCTAGTGCCAGATATCAGGTATACATAAAAATATATCCAGATTATTCAGTAATTCATCAAATATTAAATGCATGGTCATTGTATCTGGTACTCTTCCAAGCACTAATTATATTAACATGTATTGCAAAATAGGGTCTCTCTTTAGATATGGGAATGACTATAGAGTGAAGAAATGAATTTTGAAATTATCTTAAGATAATAAGATAGATGAAGAGATTGGCGTGTCCGGTCCTTTAAAGTGAGATTGCTATTTATCAGTTCTATGTCTTATGAGAGAGCTGGATCATAAATTCCTCAAAGATAAGTGTTTTTGTTTGACATTAATACAAACGTAGTGGCACCTAGGATAGTAGCTGGCAAGTAGTAAACATTCAACATCTATTTGCTGGAGAAAGAGAAGAAAGGGCATGGGAAAGGAAGGAAAAGAAGAATCAAATAAAGCAAAAGAAGTTGGAGACCAAACAGAAAGAGGCAATTTTTTGTTGTTCCCAAAGCATGGTTTGATTGTAACTACTAATAATTGACAATACCTAGCAAAGTCATGTGGTCCTACTTAAAATCTTGTCTTTTCACTTAGAAAATTCATGACCCTGAGACTAATGTCCCAAATCAGTCCCAACTTCTCTTTTATAAATTCATTCACCTGTAAGTTTATGATAGATATTTTTCTTATTATAAAACTAGTACCAGATTTTAAAATACATTTCTATTATGCAGTAAGGAGTTCATAAACAACCAAAATGAAAAAGAAAAGAATAATTCCAACTCAGCTGAATAAGGGAAGATACACCATCTTGAGTTTCCCAACTAAGTTCTCAAGAGATATGAGCTCCTTCAGGAAAGATACCTTGTTCTAGTTATCTTTATGGTGATGCCCCAGCCATAGGACCAAGCGGTAAGTCTTGTGCATACTATCCACTCAGTAAATGTTCATTGAAAAAATGTCTAGAAAGAAAGAATCAGCAAGTTTTTATTTTCAGACCTCTTCTTTCTATTTCTCAATTCCTCTCTCTCCAACTGCTTCCAACAACAACCTCTGTCATTCACTGCCCTGCAGTTTGGCTACAGTAGGAATCACCTTGTACAGCCCAAAATTGATACTGTTAGAGGCCTCCATACCTTAAATCATTTCCCACCTTCCTCACTAATTTCAAATTCTACTCATTTCTCACAGCTCATCTCAGACATCCAAGTTTTGCAAGAAATCTCCTCTGACCCAGCCCCCAGCACCCATCCCCAGATTGAGCTAAATACTCTAATGGAAGGCTCCCACAGCACCCAGTGCAAACATCTCACAACACAATTGCCACAGAACATGGATATTAGCCACTTGCATGTTTGTGTCCATTCTGAGACTGTAAGTTTGTTGAGGCTTTTATTTGTATTTTCACAAACACTAGCACGGGTTCAATAAATATTTATTAAATGAACAAAATCACCTCATTCCTTTTTTGTTCTATTTTTTGTCTCTTTAATTCACCCCTATTCAATCACAATTATCTTAAAAACAAGAACAAAACCCCTCTTGGTATCAAACAGAAATCAGAATATTCAAACCAAAAAGTGTCCCTTCCTAATTTTTATGAGTAATATCCTGTAAACATTTATTCAGTATCACTACCACATCCTCCTAATATCCTTTACAGTGGAATTACATTGTAATAATAACTCTTGCACAACCATGTATCTTACTTCTAGTCTTTCTCCCTGGAAAGATACAAAGTAGGTCCTGCTGACACTTTCTTTTCTGCTGTCATAAGGTTTGTTCCTTTCTGTTTCTGGAACCCCTGCCTTTAATCTCTCCCAATTTAGTTTGCTCTTATATCAAAGGAATAATTTGGTAAGCTCGAAATTAAGCTATTGTACATGCAAGGAAATTCTATTTTCTACTATGTGGGATTCTAATTATACAAAACGCACAATTGTTAGCCTGGTTTCTAAGGCTATCCACCCCACACTCATCACATGTTACATTCTCCATCTTACTTCCTATGTCTAAGAAAATGGATTTTCTATATGGTTTCAGGTAAACATTTTCCATTGAAGCCAAGCAAATAGTCTCCCTGTAAATTCCTTCATTGTTGCCTTTGAACATGCCTGTACTTTTTGTAACTCAATTAGCCTTTAAAATCCCTATTTACATCTCTCTTTCTGTAACATAGTCCTCTCAATTCCCTCGATATCATATTAATTTTTCCTTCACTAAAATTCTTCAGCACAGTTTACCTGCACCAAGAATATTCTAGTCCTTATTTGTATGTTTCACTGAAGTGTTTAAAAGATCGTTATATGTGTACTCTTAGATCACCGAGAACAGGTGTATTGTTATCTCCTATAAGGTTTATTCCAGCAACACTGTCAAATAAGATGATTTCTTAATAGGTGCTATTAACTTCTAATTTTATTATCTAGAGGAACTCAATAAATGCTGCCTGAATTAAATTAAATCAGCAGCTTGATAAATCATCTATAAGCAATAATGAATAAAGGTAAAGAGTAAACTTAACATTATAATTAATGCTTAAGATCAGTAATATAGCCCATTATCCTATCTAGATTATAACATTGGCAAGGAACTTTCTTATATGTATTCTAATGCTAATTCTACTTTTCAATTCTATCCTCCCCCACCCCACTTTGCCACCCAAATGCTACAGGAAGAAAACCAATGCAAACTGAGACATATACTAAAGAACATCAAGTTTCATGTTGCTCATATTTATTATGTATCTGGAATAAGGCCACCACATCTATATAGTTTACATTAAGAGCTTTATTTACAGCCTTCCTATGTTAAAGAGTAATACCTTGGATGATTTCTACCAGACCTTGATAAATTTACTTGCCTAGACAACTTTGTAAAAAGAAAACCACAAAAGAAATGCCACAATAAGTGTTTTCTGCCCATACTACATTGTCACCAGGCTAATAAAAATTTCACTTTTTCTGTAATGTATAAAAATTAATTATGCAAAATGATATTCTGAATAAAATTTTTGTCTATTATATTCACTTTTGTATTATCTTTTAAAAAGCAAACTAACAACATCAAACCTGTTAAAATATTTAGTAAATGGATAAAACAAATTTAATATTTTAAACAATAACTCACAGGATCAGCAGGACCACAGAATTCTCGAAATGTCTTTGTAGGATTATTTTGAATAATCTCCAGTGCTACACAAGGACCAGAAAACATTTCTGTCACCATGTCCTGTAATACGTAATATGAGAGAATATACAACAGTCAGTAAAATTTAATAAACTTTTTACCCCCTCACTTTTAATTGTACCACTATCCTAATCAAAAAATCTCAAAGTGATAGCTAACTTTGACTTCTTCCCCACCTGTACTCAATTAACCAAGCAGTTCTGAAATGCTGTCCATTCTTCATATAAGCAAAATTTTTTAGATATGTTCCCTCATCTCTAGTCCTATCATTACCACCCTTTTAAAGTAATGCTTTACCATCAGACACTTTCATTATTTGAAATAATCCTCTAATACATCTTTCAAAGGGCTCTCTCTCCATGAACACAATATCATCAAAGGAACATTTCAAAAGACATCTATTCCAAAGTGTTTCTCCTAAAGCTACTTTTAAAAATCAATAAGGAATAACAGGAATACGATTTACTCTCTCACATTAGCATGAGAGAGAAATTGAGATAGTAATTATCACCTCTAGAATTATACAACCTTTAGGAAACAGTTTTCTGACACTAGATGACAGGCAGCACAGTACTATGACCCCTGGGAGAAGGAAAACAAATTAGGTAAGCCTATGATTGCTCCATTTTACTGCCTGAAGGCAGTTTCCAGTCAGTGAGACAGACAAAAGAAACAAAACAGAGTCCAACATTCTCACTGAGTAGAAGAGACAAAAATTGGCATTCATAGAGGCCAACATAACTAAAATTTGCAGACCAGAATATGGAAGTGGAAGGGGTAGTTACAGGGGAGTAAACTTCAGGGAAGTTCACTTGAGTCTTTTTGGTCATGAGCCCATGTAGGTGTAAAGGAAACAACCCAAGATTGAGAAAAGAATTATCAGAAGGCAATAGACAAAACAACATACAGAGAAAACACAAGGCTGAGAAGAGTTTGTGCTTCGACTAGCCAGAGAATCAAGCCCTTCTATGCTACAGAAGACATAAACAATAGTAGTTGACCGAAATTTTCTTTAGATATGGGGTGCTATGTATCCATCCTATAATGGGCCTCAACAGGGGCAAACTGATCCCACGTAACTTAACTGAGTGCCAGAACAAAGCATTTGAAGGAATACCATACCATTTTACATTGTAAAATTTGTATCAGGCATCTAAAAAAAAGTTATCAGGCATGCAAAGAAGTAGAAAAATATGAACTGTCCCCAAGAGAAAAATTAACAAATAGTCATAGACCCAACAATGACATAATTATGTAAGAATTTTAAAACAACTATCATACAGACACTATATGCTCAGATTACAGAAGGAAACATGGACTTGATGAAGAATATATTAAATAGGCCCACTGAGTTTATAACATATATAGAAGTAAAATGTACGACAACAGCAGCACATAAATGAGGGGGAGATGGCAGCTTATGGCTTTAAGGTTTTTAACATTATATTTGAAGTGGTATAAAGAAAACCATGATCAGAGGAGGAAAGAGCCTCTCACAGACTCAGAAACACTCAATGAATGTTCTTTACTTCTCTCTTTTTTTTTTTTTTTTTTTTGGTGGGACCCTCGCCGGTGGCCAGGGATCGAACTGGTGCTGCAGAGGCTGGGGGCAGCCTCGCAACCCAGCGCTCAACTGCTGCGCCACCAGGGGAGGCCCTCTTTACTTCTCTTTGAATGGGAAAGAATACTTCAGGCACAAGTGAAAATAAATAGAAAGACTTTGTGATAGAAGTAAAGTTGGTTTGTTTGAAGAGCAGTAAGGAAGTCGGTATATCAGAGCTGACAGAGACTACAGGAAAGCAATGAGATCAGATCAGATCATACAGGAGCACATGAGTGATTTTAATGACTTTGGAGGGTTTATGATACACAATGCCAAAGTAAAATAATGGTAGTTTATTATAGAACAAGATTTAAATATTAAACCAACCTCAGTCATCATACCTAACAGAAATGCCAGAAGTTAAAAGAGGGAGAAGACTTATAATTAATATGACACACAAGAACCTTAATCACTAGATCCCTAAGTGTATCCCCCTGAGGTCACTTTGCTATTTCACAAATGTCATACGTAATTGATTTATTATGGCTAATTATATGGAGTCAAATCTTCTGTTTCATGATATTGAAGTACTGCCTACACATAAATGTCAAGAGTCAAGTTCTCCGTAGAAAGCATGAACACATTACTGAAAACATGGAGAGGAGCGAATCTTCATTGCCTTTCTTTTCATTTGTGTTTATTTCAGGTTAATAACAAATACCATTTTAAAAAAACAGATATAAAAGGCTACACAAAATGCACACAGTGAAAAGGAAAAAAATGTTTAAAAAAAGAACTCTGAAAAGCATATGTTTTTGAAAAAAATAAAAAGGCTCAACAGATTTCTCAATCACCTAGTTTTTAGCTAAGTGAAAAAACAGTAAAAGAAAAAACAAAAAGCACACCTGTTTGTTGCCTTTACAGCCCTTTGACTACATCCTTAGGTAGCTATGTTGGGATTATTTGATAATGTCTATCCTTTCTAGAACATAAGTTCCATGGATCCAGGAGGTGCTTTTTTGGTTCATCTCTATATCCTTGGTATTAAACACGTTGTCTGGCACACAGTAAACAGTTAGTATATATGTGGTTCATGATACTGGATCATGATAACACTATGAGAAGGGATTTATCACCTTTGTATGATTGCAAATGTAAAAGCAGCAAATGTAAGTGTAAGTGATCAACATAGAATCTAATACAAGAACCAAGTCAGATAAAAAAATAATAATAGCTAATATTTACTAAATAATCTCAATGTTAGCATAATTTGCCCAATTTGTTTTTTTGATTACCACAGCAACCTCTTCAAGTGATAGCATTATTTTCATTTTATAGATAAACTAAAACTTTAAGAAGGTACACAACTTGGGCTTCCCCTGGTGGCACAGGTTGTTGAGCGCTGCGCTGTGAAGCTGTCCACAGCCTCTGCAGCTCCAGTTCAACCCCGGCCAGCCAGCGAGGGTCCCACAAGGCGCAGCAGACCTCTCCTGTCTCGCCCACTGCTCCCCTCAGCAGTGTATTTCGTTAGTCTGCCTGTTCTGTTCCCCACTCTGTCTCTGGTAAATCCTCTCACTCTCCCGCACATTTGGCCTGTACCCCATTTCTTGTATAAATAAATAAATCTTTTTTTTTTTTTAAAAAAAAGGTACACAACTTGTCCATGGTCACATAATTGGCAAACTTGGAATTTGAACCTATATGGCTTGTTTAAACAGAGAGACAGAGAGAGAGAGAGAGAGAGAGAGAGAGAGAGAGAGAGAGAGAGAAGGAAATTGAATCAGGAAACTGCACCCTGGTTGCAATGAATGTAAATTTAAGGAGAGAGAAAAAGTCTTCAGTTTGAAGCATGTAATGTGGGAAAATCCAGAACTGGAACAGTTTCCAAGCAATAACTGGTGTAACAATGTTAGAGATGCTGTCCTTACTCTCAAAATATAGACTATATTTTAGAGGATCATCTCATAACCTCATACCAACTTATCTTTAAATTTAGAATAATAAGATGGATGGAGTCACGAGTATGACCTTATATATCTTATCATTTATTTTATAAATAAAATTTGAAGACAAGGAGAATAAAGTGTTTTTCCAAGATCAGAAAGAAAATGGGGCGTGAATGCAGTTCCTGGAAAGCCCTGCCTAATCTTTGGAATCCTATTGATGCCGACTTTTAGCCTCTTCCCCTCCTTATTACTGCTAAGTTGGGCAGAAGGCCTTTATAGCAATAGCTCTAAATCAGTTCCCTCTGAGGTTTAAATCTTGATTAAATTGTCTTTCCTGGGCTTGTTCAGATGCAGGATAGGTAAAAGAACTCAAATCATTGGCAACAAAGTGAGCATATAACTGAGGATCAATTATGTGACATATATACTTTGTGAGTTTCTTTACCTTATCTACAAGTAAACCATAAAACAATGTGAATTAATGAAAGCACTTGATTTTAACCACGTTTTAAAAATTAGAAAAGAGATTAAAAATGCATGAAAGAAAACTTTTAAAAAAATGGAAAACATTTATCATTCATTGAATATATGATGTTAAGACAAAACATTTTAAAATCTCTTCCACTTAAAAAACAAAGGTATAATTATAAAGACATTTTTGATAAAATTAAAGTTCATTACGTTATAAAGACAACAACATAAAAAATAACTGTGGTTCCTTCTGAAGAAGCATAGAGTACTACCAGTAAACCAGATGCATATTTCATTATTGGCTTTTTTATGGAGGCTTAGAGAAGACAAAGGCTCCAGCCAATTCCTGAAATAGTACATTTTTCCTTTGTCTAGGTCATTTGAAAGGAACATGAACTTTATGTAAAAAGAAACACCAAGTCTCTATTTTAAAATATGAGTAATGAGACAGTCTACTAGTACAATGTATTTAGGATAATTTGATCAGAGGGAGAGGAACCTGATTAAATACCTACTATGTGTTTGCGTGTGTGTGTGTGTGTGTTTACCACCAGAAGATATTTGGCTTATTTGAATATTGCAATATGTTTTCATGAACACATTTCATTATCCTCTAAACAACTCTGTTACTTTAAATGTTATTATTTCTTCATTTTCAGTCACATTTTCAAATGCTTCTATTGTATATGTGTCATTTTAAAAAAGATAAAAATTACTGCTATGGAATTATTCTATGATGTTAACTATTTGCTTTTAACTTCTATTTCAAAGTTTTCAACTAAGAATATTATAAATTTATAGATAATGTCAAACTATTTCAATATCTCTTTAAGGTTTTTTGTATTCCTAAATGAAACAATCTCATATTTTAAAAACAGATACAGTGGCTCTCTGGGATAAGAATGCCTCAGTCACTGAGTATGATCAGCTGGAGGTGGGAGAATTAGGAATACTTTTAGGAATACTTTCATGATAATAAATTATACTGAGGTTGCCAAGATTTTAAAAACCCTTTGCTTTCAGTACCAATGCTTTTCATTTACTTTGATACTTACATTATACTCAGATACCACTCCTTTATAAACTTCATAAAACTCTTCAACATTAACACGATCCATGTTAAACTATATTTAAAAAAAAAAACATAAATCAATCATGAAGAAAAATACAGGCCACTCATAGCACTCAATATTTATAAGCTCTTGGATATGTTTTCTTTACCTTATTATGTAAACATTGTATGAATTAAATATACTTTGGAAAAAATAAAGATCAGCTCCATTCATCAATATTTTTTTCACTCCAATAATTTTTATTGAATGAACTAAATATGGTATAAAGAATCCCAGATTATTTCTTTATTTATATATATTTTACATCATTTTTTATATATTTTACAATGTTTTCTTTTCTCAGGTATAGTCCCCATAGAATTTCCACCACCAGTTCACCCATGCACCATCATCATAGCACATTGTGTTCCTCCCTTTCTCCTTTTGATCCCTCTTCCTCCCCCTCCCCTGCAGAATGTTTCTGATTTATAGTTGCCTGTTTATTTTTGTTTTGGTCAATCCCACTAGTAGGGATATACCCAAAGGACACAAAAACACCAATTCAAAAGAACACCTATACCTCTAGGTTTATTGCAGCACTATTTATAATAGGTAAAACCTGAAAACAACCCAATGCCCAAAAACAGATGACTGGATCAAGAAGCTGTGGTATATATACACAATGGAATACTATTTAGCAATCAAAAAAGATAAACTCATGCCATTCGCAGCCACATGGATGGAGCTAGAAGGGATTATGCTCAGTGAAATAAGTCATAGGGAAAAGAAAAATATCAGATGGTTTCACTTAGGAGGAATATAGGGCAACCAAATAAGGCACTAGGGAAAAAAATAATATCAGCACATCTTTAGCTAGGGACAAGCTAGCTAGCTTCTAGCTTAGACCTAGAAGCTTCCTCTATAAAAATTACATTTTAATGTCAATGACTCACTATTCCTACCTACCTATAAACTAAATTGAAGCTCGTATTTGTTGGAACAGCTATTGCAGAGTAAAATCTGTCAAACTACTTCCTGGATTCAAAACCTCACTTTATTTAATAAACTCTTTATCATTTTGCAATGAATTTGTAAATTATTTTAGTGATGCAATTGTATGTGTCTTTTCCAGTTAACTATTATAGTAAGGGAATTTTGTTGATTTCAGTGTTTCATCCTATGTTCACACAACTTGCATTATTAATAAAACAAAATAGTAAAATATATAATTCAGTAAAATTTAGTAATTTGCACTGCAAACTTTATAAGATATCGTATAGGGTTATTTCAGTGAACCCATAGAATAACACATTGAGGTAAATAATAATGTTCTTATTACCTATCTGAGATGATGGGGAAATGCCTGAAATTTGATCAAGGTCACCTAGAAAGCAACAGATCCATGATTCATAAATAGGTCTTCCTGACCCCAAAAGTTAAATTCCGTGACTTGCAGTTTACACTATGCCTTCTCCCTATATTTAATTTTTCATTTTGTAAAAAATTATTCTTGTTTTCACACCTAATGTGACCAATCACTGTGTTAGAGTGTAGGTCTGAATTAGATCAACATTTAAAGCTAAAATTTCCACATTATTTTTTAAGCTGGCTTATGTCATATAATCCTGTGACGACATGGCCAAGCTAGTGCTTTTAAAGCATTTTTAAACATTTTAAACAATTTCTTTATAGTCCAACTCTCTCATTACTCTCTAAGTTTTGCCTAATGACTTCACTAACTGGTTGATAGTTCTCACCTTTTTTTTGGTTTATGGGCATTCCTACCAGAACCAGTGCTCTGAGCCCTGATTTGGGGTGATCCTAGATTTGAAGATATCAAAAGCAGTTCCTTTTCGGAAAAAAAAAAAGAGAGCACATAGATTATACTGGTAAGAGAATTCTCAGCTCCAAAATCAGCATTTCACTATCAAAAATAAACTTGCCGGCTTTCAAACAGTCTAAGAACCAAACTGTTTATCTGATTCTTATAAAAAATTGTGCCCAGTCTCTTATCAATAGCATCAGTGAGGGGCCTCCCTGGTGGCGCAGCGGTTGAGCGCCAGGTTGCGAAGCTGCCCGCAGCCTCTGCAGCGCCAGTTGGATCCCCGGCTGCTCCCCAGCCACCGGAGGAGGGTCCCACATAGCGCGCAGACCTCTCCTGCCGCCCGCTGCTCCCCTCAGCAGTGTACTTCGGTCCTTCTGCCTGCTCTGCTCCCCGCTCTGGCTCTGGTGAATTCTCTCACCCTCCCGTGCTTCTGACTGTACCCAGTGCTTGTATAAATAAATAAATAAATAAATCTTTAAAAAAAAAAAATAGCATCAGTTGACTATGTGACTTCAACAAAAAGGCACTGAGATAGGCTAGAAAAAATAAATTGTAAACCAGTAAGATGTGAGTTGTTCTGTTTGAACAAGGGAACAGAATCACTAATTGAGTTGCCTAACATTCTTAGCAGAGGAACTAGTTCAGGTGAAGTTACCTAATATCCTGTTTGAACAAATAGACCAAATCACTGAGCAGCAGGCCTTACCCTAACATCTTGACCAAACCAGACTGAGTAAAGTCACTAGACAAAAAGTTCTAGGTACAAACTAATAATGTTTTACAATTTTTTTTATAGGGGAAGGCCAAGAGCCCTACATGCACACAGTTGGCACAGCTCAATGAAGAACACACGATGACACTGCTCCCCCGACCCTGACTCATGGACCTATCCCTTAAAAATCTCCTAGTTCCCCTCATGGAGCCAGACTCTTTCCTGCACTGGCTTCCTCATGCTCTAGTCTTTAATAAAATCTTACCTGGTTTAACTAAAACTCTCTACTGAGGATCTAGACTCATACTTTTGGGGAGGAAGAAAAGGAGTTGTCTTCAATGAAGGTTTCCTAGAAACATGTCAGCAGGGCAAATTTGAATGACTGTGTGCTCTGGGACCCAGTGGTGGGACTGCCAAGAGAGGAGCTGAAATGTCAAGTCCAAAGAAGATCCCGAGGGAGTTCAGTTACCAGTCAAAGATTGGTCAGGGGAAAAAAATCTCACCTGATTATTTTCCTTCATTCTCTTCTTAGTTACAAATCCAGTAATAGAAAACTCACTGTAACTGCTTAATTCTATTTTTTATTTCCAATAACAAACTATGTTTTGGCGCATATTTATTTTGCAGATAAATTCCTGGGAATTATATAAATCTACCTTATGTGCTTAAATTAATTGTACATTTGAATAGTATTTCTCATAACCGGTTTGTGGGTAAAATAATTTTGGGTAGATTACATGGGTAAAATAATTTCAAAAACATTTTTTATTATAAAGTTACCAAGTTTAACAAATTTGTCTGCTTATTTTTCATGTTTAGTTCATAAATGCAAAGGGAAAATTCAATGTAAAACATATCAAGAGTTCTTAAAAAAAAAACAGTTCCTTAATAAGTTACAATTCATTATAAACTACCTACCATCTGCATAGCTGAAATTTCAAATCCTGCATCTCGGATAGCCATCAGGATCTTCCCCAGCAGACCTGAAAATATAAAACAAATAAGCACAAAAATACAAAGTTTCTAAGGCATTTTAGTTTCTTAGAAATGTATGTTTTCTTATATGAAGTACTGTCTATACAAAGAAATCACATATATTTGTAAGAGAACTAAATCCCTAATACAGGGCATCAATTAATATGATGATGATTATTAAATGATTCAGTTAATAATGTTTCAGGAACATCAACAATGACACCGAAGAGTATGCAAAAAAAATTAAGATACTATTTTGACTTTAAGGCCTCTGAAGTCTTATAATGTAGAGAATATGAAAACCAAACAATTAAAGCTAACATTACAAAACAATGAAATGCCAAAGTACTAGATACAGAAAGTGTCCAAAGGAGGAGAAAAATCAAATTATAGCTGAAGAGGGAAGCAGAAGCTTCAAGGAGAAATAAGAACATGCACTCATCCTTACAAGGCTGTGGACAGACTGGATGATAAAGACAAAAGGATAAAAGGAGAGCAGGTGCACACCTGGGAAATGAGAGCATGTTCACAGAACTACAAGAAGCTAGACAGGAAAATAAAATGAGGTGGTAGGGAGGAGGGCCCTTAAGGTGAAGAGATTTAATCCAATCTAATGAAGGCTTTGGATGTTAACATGAATAATTTAATGTCTAAGCCACAGATTAAATTTTTTATAATAAGGTATGCAGGGCTAGTCAAGGGCTGATTTTGAGATTCCATTTGTTTTCTATAAAAATCTCCTCTAGGGACAAGGTGGCTGAGTGTTAAGGACAAGGTGGATTGCTAAAAGTCTCCTATGCTTCATTTTTTTGTCAACTAAAATTCATTCATTGCATACAAAAGTGCACATGAGCGCACATATACAAGCACATCCCCCATTCTGGATTATCTGTATGCTCACCTAGAAAAACCAAAGCACCAAGTATGTAGTATCAGTGCCCAAAGTGCATTTTATTTTCTATTTTACTACAAATAGTGCTATTTTACTTTTTGCACACTAAAGGATTAAAAAAGATGATAGCTGCTCTCCTGCCCACTTGTGACCATGCAGATGTTTCTCTCTACCAACCTTCTCCCATTGCAAAGCAGCAGAGGCAGCTCTCCTAACCAAGACAGCCTGCCTGTTACTATGCAGGCATCTCTTTTAACAAATCTGTCTCTTTCAGGGGCAGCTCTTTCTACCCATTTGTGTCGTGCAAGCATTCTTTACTTTCCTTTCCTTTTTCTAATAAACCTGCCATTTGAATATAAAAAAATAAAAAAGTTGACAGATCTATCCATCAGGTGATACATTTGAACCAAGTGAAGGCCAAACAGCATGCGAGCATGCTGCAGAAACAAAGGTTTCTCAGGAGATTGAAGAAAAGCAAAATGGTAGAGTGATTCTCACAGATAATAATTTACATAAAGTCTAGAAAAAAGACACACACAGTTACCTGGACACAGCTACCTGAGTGGCTTCTTTGTTTTAGCCAAAGAGAAGAGTACAGTTTGCACAAAAACTGACTGAAAGCCTATAAAATAGCAAACTTGAAGAACAAGAAGACAAAGTTTGGGCAACCACAGCCCCTGGAAAGCAAGTGGCTAGATGATCCCAGAAAAAAACAAAAGCCAGGGAAGACAGTCTGATCTCTGTGTGTTCAGTGATGGGGCGCAGTACAGCACAAGAGAGGGAGGAGTGGCAGCCACTAAGAACCCCCTACAGTTGCTGATTGAGAGACACATTCACATCTTGAGGACTTTGGGCACCTACCACTGAACTAGATAAGGGAATGCACAGAGTTGGCATGTAGGACAGAAGATGCACTACTGGAGTACTAAAGGAGGAGGATACAGAGTGATACTACTTCGTGAACCTGAGGTTCCCAATACAGAAGAGCTAGAGCCCAAACCAGCAGAGAGAGCCAGGCTTGCTCACCTGTCCCACAGAAGAGGTTATTAAGTTCTGCCATTTATAGCAAAATAGGAGTTCATGGGAATTATATGTGTGATAAAGTAAGTGAGAATGACAAAAACAAATATTGTTTACAAAGTGGGTAACATGACAAACTAAGATACTCATAAAAACTATCAGATATTAAGAAACAAAGTGAGAGATCTGAGATTAAGAGAAGGCAGAGGGAGTATGTGTCAAGGGGACAAAAGGGGTGGTTGTGGGGGGTCTCCCCTGGTGGCACAGGCGGTTGAGCACCACGCTGAGAAGCTGTCTGCAGCCTCTGCAGCGCCGGTTCAATCACGGCCAGCCGGCGAGGGTCCCACATGGCATGGCAGACCTCTCCTGTCTCTCCCACTGCTCCCCTCAGCAGTGTATTTCCTCAGTCAGCCTGTTCTGTTCCCCACTCTGTCTCTGGTGAATCCTCTCACCCTCCCGCACATCTGGCCTGTACCCTGGTTCTTATATAAAATAAATAAATAAATCTTTAAAAAAAGAAATAAATATTTAGAAAAGAAAAACTACTTTCTTAAAATAAAAAAGGGGGTGGTGGTGGGAAAATATTTCAAGGGAGTAAATAAAGAATACAATGAGATGTCAATAAAAAATAAATGTAAAAAAATAATGCAAGAAAACAAAACCCTACTTATAGAAATGAGACCCCTTGAAAAGGACTTTAGTGAACAAAGCAACTTAGAATTTTAAAGATATAGCCAGGCTGTTATAAAAGACAATTCACCATTACCTGGGTGCTATACTCCACCATACAAATACTAAATATTAAATAGGAGTGATGGGAAATGAAGCTGAAGCATGGAAAAAACATCTAAAAACATTTTGGCATTTTATTTGGATAGGAACCTATGAAGGAAAATTTTTAATCCTGATGTAGACAAGAGTTCATAAACAAAATTGATACATAAATAGATATGTTTAATCCTAATAGATAATTTAAATCTAATTAGATATTTGATTGCTTTAAAAATTTACATCTAGTAAAATAAAATTTAAAGTATTTTAACTTAAAAAAAGGAGTTAGTGTGTCTTAACATGTTATTAGTGTAAAGTCAGATCAAAGCTAGAGATTATGAGATCAGATTAAGTTTCAATGACAAAATACAAAAGAAATCACAAGCATTAAAACTCAACAGAAGAAATTTAATACTAATCCTGGCAAACATGCATACCAAATAACTTTACGGCATACAAGCCAGGTAGACAAGTTTTCTGTCTCCTAAACAATAATATGTTACTAGGCAATACCACTCACTGAAAATCTTCCAGTACTTTTTAATCATATAAAAAGATAAACCCACAGATCAGGTTGGTTGCAGATCACTTATGATTTCTTACCTTTGGTAAGCAAAAAATTGTAAAATCACATTAAATCAATTACAGATAAGATTATGGGTTCAGCATAATTGTTACACTGAGTAAGTAATGCTAGTAAGACACTTTGGATCTCAAATTGATCCATTAACTGATCATAAAATCTAGTCTTATAGTAATTGGGCTTATAAAAGATAGACCTAATTCAGTCAATGATCTTTCTAATCCACCACCTACACTGCACTCCTGGATCTAAAATGTACATTTTTCCTTATCAAGGTCCTAACAACCATAATCTAGTGAATGAATGAGTAGAAAATACTAAGGCAGTCTCCACAACAACATTGAAACAGGAGATCCACAGGATCTAAGACCTCCAGGAAAAAGCAATCAAGAATCCCTCCTTACAGGGAAGAGAATAAGCTCAACCCAGCAAAAGGAGCCAAGAACAACTAGTGTGATTGAAATAAGATCATATCCAAACAAGGACTCCCAAGAAAAACAAAAATAAAGTAGGGTATTGGGAAGGCAAGCCAGAAACTGAAAATTTTGTCATATTAGGCAAGTAGGTCATCAGAAGTCCAAAGTCAACTTGAGGTTACCACAGAAAACAATCTAACGTAATGAGAAGTTCTACTCCACAGGAGATGATGGTCAACAGGTGGCTTATGGATAAGGAAGATCATTCCTGATCTTAAAAGGCCAGTTCCTCTTGTGGAGGGACTTGTGGAGCCAGTGCAAGTCCCATTCAAGGTAGACTCTATGTTTCTAGGAGATTTTCATGAATATAAATATGCAAATATCATACCAACTCATCATTGTAAATTTGTTAGTTTTATAGGCAAAGGCAAAGAAAAAAAATTAAAGATTCAAATCCATGGGTCCATTAACACCGATGTGAACAAAAAAAATCTTCCCCTCTTAATGTTACTTCTGTTTGTCTTTTTGAATGCTTTAGAGAGAAAAAGTTTCTCAAAAAGAGTCCTTTACACAATCTTTCATAAGGAAGTACATTTGTTTTCATTTATCCCAGCTATCCAAAAATCATAGTTAAGGAAACCCCTCCTCCCCCTGAAATGTAGCCATCTTATTGCAGGAACACTGTTTTTCCTGTTGATTTCAAAAGGCTCATCTGATGTACCTAAGTTTGGTAAAATCTCACACACACACACACACACACACACACACATAAAAATAGTACTACCACCACTTGGGCCACAAATTACATGACTCTTGTCCCTTATCTGTTGGAAGCACATGCTATCTGCACTGGGAACGGCCTCCATATTTGTTCTATTTCCCAGCAGTAAATGTAATATGCAACTTCACTGTCTGGTGGTTATCAAAATACGGGGGCCTGCATAAGGGACATTAGCCTGACCTGGGAATGGTTAAAAATGCATATGTGCTGAACCAGATACTCTGGAGGTAGGGCCCAGACATCTAAATTTTAACAAATCCTTCAGATTGTTCAGACACACATGACCATCTGAGAACCCTGACCATCAACAACTGAGGTTCACAATAACCACTCTCTCAGATGTGAAAATGGGGTAATATGTTCTGAGAAACTTAAGGTTTTAATTTGCAGCAGCTTCTCCTACTGCTCCAAACCTTAAACCAAATCTCCTTAACTAGAAAATCATAAAGGATGTTAAATTCTTAAAATTTGGATTTTCTATCTTAAACTCCACTACTCTTATCACTTAATATTTTTGCTTGACCATCACATTTTAATTTTTTCTT